GGAGGGTCAGAGAAAAAGAGGAAGACCCCCAACGAGATGGATTGGCCAAGTGGCAGCATCGATGGACTCAAGTGTGGCAACAATAGTGAGGTTGGCCTAGGATCAGGCAGTGTTTTGTGCTGCTGTGCATAAGGTCGCTATGGGTCAGTACCAGCTCAATGGCACCTAACAACAACAACAAGTAATTCCTCCTTAGAGTAAAAACCCCTCCGTTATAACTTCAGATCATTAAAAATGGCTTTCATGTCCCCAACGTTTTCTGTTTTATCAAATTCACTGATTACCACTCATTTATAGGCCCTTTGGCAGGTATTATTTCAATTTACTATCTCGTGTCTATGAGAGGGAGAGACAGACCAACCAACACACAGGCTTCTCTCAAAAAGATTATCAAAAAGATTATAAAGTACTTTGCATAGCATGGAATCCACAGCAGGAGCTCAGCATAGCTGTGTCTTAGTATAGAACCCCTTTTTAATTGGAGATTTACTATAGCGTTCCCACTGATAGGCAGCAGCTGCACACGACCTAGAGTGGCCAAAGGAAGCAATGGTAGGAAGTACATCTTTCTAATATGAAGAGGGATTCCATCTAAATTCTCTGTCTCTTAAATGTTCCTCAATACACTTTCAGTCCAGCCTCCTACCTTGGGTTTATCACTGTCAGATACTCTCTTGTTTTAGAGTCAACAACGAATCGGCTACTGCCCCCAACATGACCCTTTACTGGAGCACTTGACAGGGTATGAGACGCTGGCCTTGCATGCCCGACTATGGGGCGTACCTGAACACTACATTCATGCATACGTCAAAAGCATGCTCAGTACACTCTTCCTGGATCCCTTTGAAGATAAACTCATCAAGAACTTCAGGTAAGGCTATGTGTTGCTAACACAGCTAGCTTACTCATTACACAGCGTACTCTTTCTAATCTGAGGCAGAAGAGTCTCTAAGCCACTGAAACCAGATTCCCATCTATGAGAATTACTCAAACCACATCAAACCCTCACTCTTATTTAGAATGTATTTCCCTAAGGTTCTGGGATCCTCTGCAAGCCTACTACTGCTTCCACATTCAACTCGGTAGACTTATCATAGCCAAGCTTGGCACCTATCTACTCAGGAGGATCTAGGGTAGGCAACACAGCCTGCCAGTAGGACAGAATCAGGTGCTGCTCTTCTGCCGAGTCTTTGCAGCCTAAGTCAGATGCAAGAAGACGAAACCTACCTTGGCTAGGGGTGGAAGCCGCCCTGGCTTAGAAGAAGCCTCATCCACTACAGAAGCCTATATCCCTTATTACACACTTCTTTACGCATAATTTCTGGAGTTCCCATAAGCAACAAAACAAGGTTACTGCACAAAAGGAAGCCCACAGAATGGCCTGTTGGGTATTTGTAGTTCTCCCAGTCTAGGTGTATTCTTTCCGTTCATTTTTACCCTGGTTACAGTTAATGCAATCTGGTTACCAGGATAAACATACCTAGAGAGTTAGACAAAGGTCAAATTCTCATGCAAAATGGATAAAAAGTATAACATGTTAAAATGCTTCCAGAACTCTTTGCTCATTTGCCAACAATAGACACATAGGAGGATAAACAGAGTAGTGCTACCTAATCGCTGGTGTTGTCCAGGCAGTTCTGACTAACAGAAACCCTGTAGAGGGTTTCTAAGACTAAATCTTTATAGAAGCAGAAATCTTGTTTTTCTCCCAAGGAGCAGCTAGTGGGATTGAACTACTGACCTTGTGGTTAGCAGTCCAGTGCTTGCTTCTCCTACAACTCCACCTCGTTCCCACAAAATCTTAGAAACCTTTATTAAACAAAAATATCAAAATGTGAACACATTTTTTCTTGACGTATCCTCCACCTAGGTCTATGTTGAGCAGTGTTTCCATCTCTCCAACCCTTTCCCTGGTGTGGC